TATATATATTGTATATATATTGATCTTCCCTTTTTTTTTACACTGTGAGACGAAATGATCAAGATCATTCATTTCATCTGACAAGGTGGGTTGCTCTAATGGTAAGCACCCTCCACGTCTAACCAAGAGGTTCTGAGTTCGAGTCACCCCAAGAGCAAGGTGGGAGTTCTTGTAGGGAAGGATGCCGAGGGTCTATTGGAAACAGCGTAGGGGTAAGGTCTGCGTACATACTAATTTTCCCAGACCCACTTATGAGTTATACTAGGTTGTTGTTGTTGTTGTAGATACGAAACGATCAAGATATGGAGATGGGTCAAGCAAATTCTTAGTACTAGGAATTATGAACCGGTTTGCAAAATGAATTAATCATGAAGGTACATTTGAACACTTCAAAATCCAAAAATGAAATATGACTCTTTACAGAATGCAGAAACTTAATGAAATTCAAAGTACAACGGAAAGATATATCCCTACCGATCGAATATCCAATTTAAGTCTCTAATTTTTCGTGTGCTCAAAGTCAAAACATTGATTCGTTAATTCGTTTAACCTAAAACCGAACTAATTATAATTAAATAATAGATCATAATTCTTTATAGCAAATATATTAAATAGTACATGAAAAATTGTTTAAAAAAAGGAGAAAATGGTACAAAATAACATACTACATCCGTTTCAATTTATGTGAACTCATTTGGCTCTGTACCGAGTTTAAGAAAAGAGAGAAGACTTTTGAATTTATAGTACAAAATGAAGCACATATATTTTGTGTGACTATATTATTTTTAAATAAGGAAAAAAATTATTTTTTTTGCACGAACTAAAAAAGAAAATAGATTCAATAACTCCAAACGAAAAGAGGGAGTACAATATATAATAATCTAAATAACAACGTTTGGCGCCCTAAGTGTCGGTACAGTATAATGCTAGGAAAGATATTTATTTGTGAACTCCCATTCCAGCCGTTAATTCAGTTGATAGCCAAAACAAAACTGATATTCACCCTTTCTTATCCTTCCCCACGTACCAGATTTCACCTCCTTCTTCTATCCAAAATATTTTTTTCCTCTCCCAAATAAGCAACAATGGCGTCTGCTCTTTACCACCAAAATAATCCCTTATTTCATCAAAACAATTATAATTACAATTATTTCTGTTACTCTACTTTTCTTCCACTAAAGAATAATAATACTAACTACTCAGCTCGACTGCGTAATACACTAATCAAATCTTCTAGGGATAAAAACCGTACTGTCATATCCGAAACTTCTATCGATAATTCCAATTCTGATTTGGGAGAAAATCGGGTCAAGAGTCCGGATCCTGACCTAGGATCCGATTCGGACCTTCCATCCTCGTCATCGTTGTTGGATTCAGTCTCTTCCCTACTGTATATCTTCATCACACGTCTCTTTGTTTTTTAGCAGTATTGTTTTTATTTTTTATTTTTTATGTTTGTGTTTTTTTTCCCCTCTCCTGATTTGTGTTTTGGGTTATTAATTCCCAGGGAAGAGCTGAAATTTGATGGAATTGGATGGGAGATTATGTCCATTGCGTTGCCTGCTGCGTTAGCTCTTGCTGCTGACCCCATTACTTCACTTGTTGATACTGCATTTGTTGGACATTTAGGTACTCTTATAGTATCCCCTCTTTGTTGTGGTTTACTTCACTTGTCTTATTACTTGTTTGATTTTATGTGATGTAGTTATTAGGGTCATGATGAAAGTTGTATGTGTTTTACCCATTATTTACAACAACTACGCCTCAGTTCCAAACAAGTTGAGGTCAGCTTTATGAATCTTTACTGACCATGTTTCTCCATTTAAATTCATTTCAGGCCAACAAATGTAAAGCAAAGTGTAAATCAATTTACCTTTGCATAAATTTATAGCGAGTTCAAGTATTGTATAAGTGGGTCCTAACTAAAGTTTAATTAGAAGAGTGGGTCCCACTTTAAGAAAAATAGGTATTCTACTGAGATGGCTGAAAAAACCAGGAGGGAAGAAAATTTTGAAATGATGAAGTACAATATTCTAGTCCATGTATGTCTTACTTATGTATGCATATGTTTTGCAGGGTCAGTTGAACTGGCAGCAGTAGGCATTTCGGTATCAATTTTCAATCTCATCTCGAAATTATTCAATGTTCCTTTGCTCAACGTCACAACTTCTTTTGTTGCTGAAGAGCAGGCATTAATTGCTAAAGGTGACAGTGGTCTTTTGTCAAAGCATCTACTTCTAATTTATCAAACATTCTGCATTTACCCGATATGAGTTATATTTTTTTTTCCTTAAACTAGGTCGCTCACCTGATTCACAAAGAAAAATCCTACTTCCTTCAGTATCAACTTCTTTGCTGCTTGCTCTTGGCCTTGGCATTGCTGAAGCTGTTGGACTTTCTTTTGGCTCCGGTTTCCTAATGAATACCATGGGTATATCTGTTGTATGTCTTAATTTGGAAAACAAATTTATTTTCTAGCATGAGGGCTAAATTCTTCTCTTCCAATTTCCAAGTCGTAAGTTATTGGGGGCATTTTTTGTTCGGCCAGTATATCTTGGAGAATGACATAGTGACAATCAGATCTCAGAGATGCCACTTGGATTTATGCTTCCCCTATTCCTTTGCATTAGTATAAAGCCCATGTGTCTTGATGTTTGCTGAAGATCTTCAATGTAAATCTATTTGGGATTGTTGATATATTGCAGGATTCACCAATGCGTGTACCAGCTGAGCAATTCCTTACGATGCGGGCCTTTGGAGCTCCACCAATTGTAATAGCACTTGCTGCTCAAGGAACATTTCGTGGATTTAAGGACACAAAAACTCCTTTATATGCTGTTGGCAAGTATCAAAGATATCCAAATACTTCTCTAATCTACATAAAGCAAAGGCCAAGTGCAATCTGTCCTGACATCTTGTGTCTAATATCATGTTTCATAAATATTATTTATGGATTGTTGGATAGATAACTGTTTCAAGCTGTTCATTGCTATTTGGATATTGACTTCACGAGCTCATTGGGAAAGTTGAGATGGAAATATTTTGTTGATATGGACCACTCTTTTAGTTGAGCTAAATGCTGTTTATTAAACCTCGATATATAGTAATCTTTCATGCATAAGTACTGTTCCAAACATATGGGCGGGTAGGCACTGCTTTAGATGTTGACTTTATGTGATTTTATTCATCTTGATGAAGTAGGGATAAGATCCAACATTTATCAAAGACTTGTCTAGCTTAGTAAGCTATAGAAAACAACTCTTGAGAATGCTACTTCTTGTNCAGTATGGTCTGCTAAATGCGGCTCTTTTTTTGTTATGTCCCAAACATTTAAGTATAATCCTTCCTTAACGCTTCTACTTATGTATCTGACAAAGAACAGTTCTGGATTGTCAGGAGCTGGTAACTTGCTAAATGCGTTGTTGTCTCCAATTTTGATATTTCCCTTTGGTCTTGGTATCAGTGGGGCTGCAACTGCTGCTGTGATATCTGAGTATGTTGGTGATGCGGTAAACCTTTACTTTGTACATGATATAACTTCCTATCCACTGTCTCTATCTTATTTTTTGTTTGATCTACATTTTTACCAGATACTTGTCTGCGTTTATCCTTATGTGGAAGTTAAACGAAAAAGTGCTTCTTATTGCTCCAGACGTTGATGTGGGAAGATTTGCTCAGTATCTTAAATCTGGTACTTTCTTGGAAACTGTCAAAACGACACCTGAAATCAGGATATCGTTTGTAGTTATTAAAGAAAATTTTGATGAAAAGGCTCCCATTTTGTGTGGATAATGTGTTCGACACGATATTCAAATATGTCCAACTGAATCTCCTCTAGCATTAGCAGCAGCTAGTGAAACTTGAAATCGGTATTCAAATATGTCCAACTGAATCTCCTCTAGCATTAGCAGCAGCTAGTGAAACTTGAAATCGGTATATCTGCATATAAATCTATGAATAGTTGAAGATGAATACTTCAAATGAGAAAATGATTGAAGGTGTGAATATGATTTCATTCAAATTTGAAGATTGAGTAATGGGAGAATGACGAAGGTACAGTAAATTAAGTTTTAAAAAAAAACTATAATGATTTAATCTATCCCATGATACTTCATAAATACAATCTCTTGCCCTTTAATGAAACTAACTACTTTTATAGATTCTTTAGATCTGTTTCAAGAAAAAATGTAGATTGAAAGGATTACTTATACCAAACATATAAAGTAGCATTTGGTCTTTGGGCGACTGCAGAATTTTTTATTGTCTGAACTCTGAACCCGTGGAAAGATAATTAAGAGTTTCTCTTGCGCACTTTATTAGAACACATCAAAATGCTCTAGCGTATTCAAAATGAAAAGATCGAACCTATCTTAGGTTAAGTTTGTTCTTTTCTTTTCCAGGTTCCCTTCTAATAGGGAGGACTTTAGCACTTCTAATTACCACTACGCTATCAACAGCAATGGCAGCAAGAGAGGGCCCCGTTCCTATGGCTGGTCATCAGATCTGTGTTCAAGTTTGGCTAGCTGTATCATTGCTAACTGATGCCTTGGCACTTGCTGGACAGGTGAACATACTTTGACTAAACTATTTGTTTTCTCTGCCATCATTTCTGGCTTTATTGAATAATTTTCAGAGAAGTTTTTAGCAGCTCTGTTTTTACGTCTCAGTGAAAGCCAAATACCATTCAATTTTATTAGTGATTAGGACTTCAATTTTGCTTCCCTGTAACAGATGGAACTACATCATATAACTCTTGAATCGCTTCTTTTAATTTCTTATTTCTTTTTGGTTTTCACTTACCCATGAAGTCACAGGCTTTTCTTTAACTGAAGTTCCCAACGGGGTCATATTTAGACAATTTCCATTGAATTATCTCCTGCAATCTTTAGTTATGAAATAGCAGTTTAGTCTTTCGTTGCATTTTTTATTGCATTCTTATTCTGTTGATTTTTAGGCTCTCCTTGCCAGTGGAGTTTCTCAAGGTAATTATGGCCAAGCACGAGAAGTGGTTTATAAAGTTCTACAGGTAACTTGGGTGCCTACTCCAGTACTCTTTATTAATTCTCAACCGTGATTACTGACTCAGCTTTTAAGAGAAAGCATTAAGAACAGAATATTGACTTGCTACATCTTTTACTCTTCATGTGAATTATGTCAGATTGGTGCATTGACAGGAGTCACCTTGGGTTTTAGCTTGTTTGTTGGTTTTGAAGCGCTCTCCGGCTTATTCAGCTCAGATTCTGAAGTCCTGGAAATTGCCAGATATGGTACTCTGGTATGAAAGTCTTATCCAGATCTCTCAGCATTTTTTCTGGTGGATTTTGAACCCCAAATCTGTAGCATGTTCCCCAAAGTTGACATATATTCATGTTAGACTACAATTCCTGCTATGCACCAGCTAGGTAATTTCTTTATCATGAAATAGTTTTGGTCATTTAGAAGTAATTATACAGCTGTCATTTCTAACCTTGTATAAAGTTGTCGGGTTCATTATCTGGATTAACTTGATATTTGAATGATAAACTACTCATTCTTTTCTTATTAATATGATTTGTTGGACAGTTTGTTGCTGGATCTCAGCCAATAAATGCCATTGCCTTCGTTCTTGATGGGCTCTATTATGGTGTTTCAGACTTCGAATTTGCGGCATATTCTATGGTAAGCATTATTGCACATTTCTGCACCTTTTTCAGAAATAGTATTCTGAACTGCAAAACCAGAAATTGAGCCAGAGTAGATTCGAAGTGAGAGTGCAATGGTGTAAACTCTTGCCAAGCACCTACTAATGTTTAGATATGTACACTTAGTTTTTGCTTTAATTGAATTTCTATTAGCGCCAGCGGCAAATTAAAAGCAAAACTGTTAGCAGAGTCTATATGGTTCGATGAGGTGAACAGAATGTTGAACAAAAAGAAATCTTTACATGATATTTGTTTTTCTGGTTAGGCTTTTGCTTTTTCAGTAACACTATGTAAGAAGCCGCCTGGAAGGAAACGTCTAGAGAAGAGTTAAAAAAGGATCAAGCAATAAGTTGTCCTGGAAGCTGATTATGCATATCAATGAATTATTGTCCCAACTCCCAATGTTGGTTGCTACATATTCTAGGATCTTTGCTACAAATGAATAATGTAAAGTCTAGAACATACATTTCAATTTGAGTTGGCTGGCTTTTAGCCAATCAGTGAGATGCTGCTTGAACATTCTTGAATTGGTGTATCTAATTGAATGTGATCCAAGGACCAATTGGGAGGAAAAAGATGGTGGATTTGGAGTGTGTCCTACATTATGACCAACAAGATAAATAATGTAAGATTATGTTCTTTCCTTCTGATTCAGCTTCCTATATTTGTCAAACAGTTTCTGATTGGACTAGTCTCCTCAATCTTCTTACTTGTGGCTGCGCCATCATTTGGTCTTCCTGGAGTCTGGGCGGGGCTTTTTCTCTTCATGACTTTGCGTGTTGTAGCTGGATTTGTGAGGTAAATCTGTGTCTATCTCTTTCGTCAACCTTAGAGAGAATTTTGGTAATTTTACAAATTGAACTAAGTTGAATTTTATCGCAAGTGCTGTCTTAGTTTTTTTTTTTTTTTTAAAAGTTAGTTAATGAAGTGGCATAGTCTTAGTCAGTTGCTTAATTTGTAATGAATAGTAAAAAGCCTTTGTTTTACCATTTTGACTGTATTTAGTCATCATTTGGAAGTTGTAGGTTGAATCAAAGCCTCAGATTTCTGTATATTTCTAGAAAGACAAAGAAAAAGTAATGGCTTTTGATTGGTTTATTTGATTTTTGTCCTTGAGTGTTTGAGTCATAATATTCCACTTGCAGCAAGGTAAACAAAATCTACTTCAGTAGTGCAGCTACAATTAGCTTTAAGAACTCTCATATGGCCCAGTTACTGGGGTTATGCTTCGAAGTCACCATGAAATGGAAAATGGTCTAAATCGTTATTTTGACAAGTACTTGTGAATAGCAGGTTACAAACAAGAGATGGACCATGGAAATTTCTTCGGTCGGATATGGAAGAGGATGGTGTCTGACTTTCAATGAACAAGTGATTGATTATCTATAAATGGTCGGAAAAGTCAATTAGGCTTATGCTAAGAATGGAGTGAATTGCTGATCATACCTTATACAGGCTTTTTGCAGATCTTGACAAAATTGAACTCCTGAAAACTGGAAGACCATTCTATAGTACAGGCATGTTGATTTCATCAGTCTCTTTGGCCTCTACTTAGGGGCTGATGATTTACGTTTGAGAATGCTATTGTGGAGGTTTCAAGAACAACCATCCCTTTCAAAAACCTATGATCAAGCGACATCATCTCACTGACCATTAGAAATGTCTAGCAAAACTCCAACTTGGAAAAGTTTCCTTTCCTTTCTCCATTTTGTAAAATAATTCATAGAGAGAAGGCTATGGAATCGGCCAAGTGATACTTGTAAAGTTGAACAGCTTATTTGACGCATACAATTGTATACTAATGTAAAAGAGTATCATTCTTCATGTACTCTTTCTTTCTGGATAAGTTTGCCCTGCATTCTCATTCTTCAAGATTTTGTTATTTCCTCTTTTGTTGTTGAGACAGCGTTTGTAAGCTCCAAAATCTGCGCAAACAAATGGGCTGAAATTACCAATTTCAGAACCCAAATCAGTAGCTACACCAACATGCAATAGGAGGAATAGTGATTTCATTTGAAGTTCTAGTCCAGCTTTATGTAGTTTTTTTTTTCTTGTAGTATTGAAGTAAAATATACAGAAACAATGCAGGCTTAATTTTATTTTATTTTGTTTTTCTACTGAGAAGCCACAGTCCCTTTACTGGATTGCAGATGTTCTGGATGTGAGAGATCCCAAAATACCATCTAGGTTTAGAGGCGATGTTCTTGTTGGGTGTATACATGGTTAGGAAGATTCATACAGCCGACCTCAACTTGTTTGTTTGGGATTGCGGCATTCTTGTAGTATTCTTGCCTAGTGAAAGAACTAAAATAGAATCTACATGATCTTACATGGCACATGATAAAAGGCACATTAAAACCAGTAGCCATCCAACTCATCTACTTTGTCCCTTTAAGGTGTAGCGCACAATTTTCTAAAACAAAAGGTGGTGGGGTTTCATTTTCCAGAATACAAAATTTCTTTTTGCTCTTCCTCCTCTAGGCATCTTCTTTTCCAGGCTATTGACTTCTGAAATATTCTAACCGACCATGTTAACAAGGTCAAAGGAAAAATATCAAAATGCAAACCATGTGCGATATTACTGAGAAAGATTGATGAGAATAAAGTGCAAGATTGAGATTCCTCTTTGGAACACTAATCCTAGAGAGATTCTTTTAATGTGTTATTTCTCTCTAAAGGGCTTACTTTTGCCTTCCCAATTTGTTCTTAAAACTTTAACCTTGTTTTAAATATTTCACCAAATAAAACGATTCATTTTGAAAGATTACACATAAGACATGACCGAATTATCTCAAGTGACATTTTCTCATTTATTCCTCTAGTTTTGGTATTTGTACATTCCGTCAAAGATGATCATTGATTTTGTACGATAAAAATATCCAACGTAGAATTTGCGTTTCTGATGTGAACTATTCTTGTATTCCCACGTAAAAATGCTAGTCTCATGTCTATTTCATAGAAGAGGTATACAAGACAGACAAGTTGTACAACATTATTGTTGTACCTTAATCCTTTATTTTCAAATATGTTGGTATAAAGATGATCGAGACAATGAGAAGACAGACAAAGGTGTGGCAAGAAAAATGTGTTGACTATACATATATAATGGAAACCATAAATAACTTTAATTTATGGGGAAAATGGACCACGAAAGCACCATAACAAGTGGTATAACATTATTGTTGATTCTCAATCTTCTATTTTCACATAGAATGTTTCAAAATTAACTTCAGTAAAATGCCCGTCCTTTTTCTTTTTATTTTTTTAATCCCACTCTATTTCACCTAATAAGATTCACAATATAAACATTTGATATACATAGCAGGAATTTAAACAGTTATATATTTTTCCATTACCTTAATGCTCTTTTCCCTTCCTTTTTTATCTCCCGGAGCAGCCACTCTAGAAGATCTAGTGGTATACTTCAGTAATGTCATCATTCACAGACCCACCTGATTGTGTCTTTTTCCTGTATAATCATTTTTTCTCTAGGCAAAGGATTTAAAAAAAAAAAAAGAGTGGGGAGGGGGTGTTGTGTTCAGCCCACTGTTACGAGTTGTCCTGATTTTCTTATCATATTTGGTTTTCCTATCTCTTGAAGGAAAGGGCAACATGTTTATGATAAATCTCCCATATTTGGCTAGTCTTTTTTCTTGTAGGAAAAAGTTTGGAGTTCTATAAATTGAAGATAAGTCCTTCTCATTCAGTAGCATCCACAATGTATCCATATGGGGTTTGAGAGTCTTTTTTAGGGGGAGAACTTTACGGGACAAGTATTAGTGTATCACTTGTGCGTGTTTGCTTCTTCGTGAGGTTGTTCTCTCGATATTTTGTACTCTCTTTTTATATAGTGGATTGCTCATCTCCGCCATGGACGTAGGTCAAGTTGACCGAACCACGTTAAATGTTTGTGTCTCTTTTGGTATATTTCTCTTTGTTGCATGCTTTTTCATCGTTCAAGGTTTGTTTTGCTAGCTTCCGCATGACACCTGATTATTTCGGTCCTAACACCCACTGCCCAGTGCTTAAAACATACCATGTTCAGGCAAGCAGGGTTATGGGACGGGCCTATCCAAGAGTGTGTGATGTAAGCAACCTACTGAATGCAAGATAAGTGGAAGGACCCTGATGCAGCCTACACAAGAGTATTTATATAGTGTAAGCAGCCTACCCTAGTGCAAGAATAACCAATTGATTTCACGGCTCAAACCCATTACCTTTAAGTCACATGGAGATAATTTTATCGTTGTTTCAAGGCTTCCTTTCTGGCTAGATATAACATACAGCGTTCAGGCAGGGTTAGGGGAATGGCCCATCCAAGGGTGTGTGATGTAATTAGGTAGCCTACTGAACGCAAGGATAGGGGAAGGGCCTATCCAGTAGGGTATGGTGTAAGTAGCATACCCTGATGCAAGGGCCACGATTGATTTTATGGCTCGAAATCGTAACCTTTAAGGTCACATGAAGATAATTTTACCGTTACTCCAAGGTTTTCTTTCTCGCTAGGCAAAGGATATTGGCCAATAATATGGTTGTACAATTGGTTTGGGAAATATTTTGCCTAAAAGAAAAGGGATTAACTAAGAGTTGCAAGATTTCATTTTAAAAAACACTTAATTAATTAATTGAAATTTAGATCTTATCTTCTCATAAAGTTATAGTTAGACTTAAGCGCGATATGAGCTTTTTACTGTTTTGAGTCAGAGTAAAGTCGAGCTTACAATTTAGTCAAGTATGAGCTTAGTGCGAAGTGACTCTTTTCTAGTACTATTAGCAATGCCTCTAGGATGTTCTCATTTACTGATTTACAAAAGTTGAAAGTAATTAAATTAAAATACAATTTAAAAGAAAATTTAATTTGAATTGACTTTTATAATAATGATTAGACAAACTATATAATAAAGGCGTCATGAATATTAAGTTAACGAAAATGATAATTTAACTTTAACTTCTTCTTTTACAAAATTAAATTCAAATAAACTAATCGATAAAGAAAAATATATAATCGACTGCTTCAGTTTATTTTTTATTTTTTTTTGGTAATAGCTTAAGTTTAAAATTGAATTCGTGGGATTGAATTTCATAGAATTAGTTTAAATTAAAACCTAATTGTAGTGTGCTTATATTAAATGAATTTTTGGACTCGTAAGCTAAATCAACAATAAATTTAATGTTTTCTACTACATTGAATCTCATTAGAACGGCAGTATGATAAACAAAATATTCCGCGCTCGTGCAAGATCTGAAGAAGAGACGCACCCAAGGGGTGTGATGTACACGACGTACCCTAATGCAAATTAAATATTAGTGGTTACTTTCACTGCTCGAACCCATGACATATAAATCATACGGGGACAAATTTACCATTGCTCTAAGGTTCCCATCTGGTCATAGTACCAGACCATGAAAAAATTGCTTTTTCTTTACATAATTTAAAGAGATCTCTCTCCATGTCTAACGTTGTAACACTAACTTCGTTTCTAATGTACAATATTATATTTACTTTCCTTACTTTGATTTTTTTAACAATTGTTTTAACCTACTTATCATAAACACATATATTTAATCTAATTTACCCTTTTCTAATATTATAATCACTCTTTAATATATACTAATATCTTAGTAATTAAAGATATCAATATAGTATTTCAAAAATATTTCTAGAATAAATATATAAAAAAAATTAAACTCTTCAAATGCCAATGAACACACAGAAAAATGGTGCTATCGTTCTAAAACCAATTACGAATACAGTAATTTGTTATGCAATTTTCTTTTAGTTTATTTGATACGCAAATCTGGAACTTGTATTAAAATAATAGCAGCACATACACATTTATAATCAGTTAATGACCATAATTAAGGACAACAGTTATATGAGTCTTTAAAAGCAATTAAGAAGGACAAAATATAAAGAAATTGCCAGCAACAATCATTACCGAATCGGTACTAACCACTCAGCTTTTATCAATAAGGACTGACTTGAAAAATTAATGCAGAATCAAAAGATTTGGATACTCTAGAATAACTTTCAAAGTACACATCCCTAAAATCAATTATAACGAGTAAAATATTGAAAAATAAATTGGTCATATTATAAATTTTTTGCACTATGATAAGTAATTTAAAAGAATTTCTTACAAAAAGATAAAAGCAATGAAGGCTAGTGTAATACTATAAGCACAACGAAAGTTAGTGTTATGAAGTCAAATCTACGTTAGGTTTCCAAGGCTCTTTTTTTTTTTTTTAATTTATAACTTGTACTTTTTGGCAATGAGAATCACGAGGTTTCAAGTTTAAATTTTAGTGGAGAAAAAGGATAAAAATATGGAGTAAGTGATTTCCTTCCATCTCAAACTTTGGAGGATATATAGACCGGTGCCTATGCTTAGTGGCGATGACGAAACTAGAAATTTTACAGGAGTGTCCAAATAAATAAAAAAACTAATAGACAAAAATATTAAGGGAGTCAACATATAGTATATACACAATGTTTTTTGGCGTAATGACTTTCTGGCCACTTAAACTCGTAGGGCTTTTGAAAGCCGATACATAAATTTTGGATTTTTCCATTTGAACACTCAAACTTGACAAAATAAGTACTAATAAACACATCCACCGGAGCGTGTATACCAATTGCGCTGACATGTACAACACATTATTCTAAGCTATTTATTTGTGGGACCCATTTTTAAATACAAAATCAGAAAGAAAAAAAAAGTTACAAATACAAAAAAAAAGAAAAACCATGAAACATACCCAGTATTAATCTGTACCCAACCACCCCTTCTTCCTCGTCCACCCTCCTCCCTTCCTTTCTTTACTCTTCTTTCTTCTCCTTTTTCTTTTTCTTCATTATACTTTCTCTCTTATTTCTAAATCAAATTCACAACATCACTATGGCCATGATTAGACCCTAACCAACAAAAAAAAAGAATTTGGAATTTCAAAAAAAAAAAACTGTTGTGCTTGTCATTTATTTCAAATGAGAAATTAATTGTGTAGGGGTGAATATCAGCTAATCTAGTTCATGAACTTTTTGGGCTTGGTTTGATGACTATAGTTGGCATAAAAAATATAGCTCTTTTTGCCTTTATATTTCTTCTGTAATCTACATAGGACTTCTAGATTTTTTTCCCGTAGGTCAATATATTAGGGAATAATCACCATCCCATGACTTCTTTCTGTTTACTATAGGGTGGTGATTTCTCCAAAGGGAATGGTATGTTTTTTCCCCTTTTGGGCCCTGAACCTTCAATTGGTGCAGAGGACTCTTTAACTTCCAAACTCTAGCCCAGAAAAGTAAGGCACACAAACTTTTAATGTTTTGCAGGCATTGGTGGAGAGAGTATATATGGTAGATTAGTAGTATATATGTTTGAGTGTTTGATAAATGGTTATATGATTGGTTAATGATGGTAAAAAAAAATTTCTCCATGTAGACGAAAACTTTAAAGTTGTTCACACTGAGGCTGGCCTTCTCTCGATGGCAAATAGTGGTCCTAATACAAATGAATCCCAGTTCTTCATTACGTTAAGAGAACTCCCCATCTTGACGGATAGTGGTCCTATTCACGCGCCTCGGCAGCGTGATTTGCACACAGTTTAGTCATGTCAATTGCAGTGCTTCCACATAGGCATGGTCAACGGTCAAAAGTGTTTATTAGTACCCATTTTGTTAAGTCTGAATGTTCAAATAGGAAAATCCAAAGTTCGTGTATCGGCTTTCAAACAAGTTTAAGTGGCCAGGAAGCCATTACGCTATTTTTTTTTACCAGCGATATAGTGTAATTTTCTGATGAAGAAGTATCAAATTGAATGAATGTGGCTCCGCCACTGCCTATATATGTTGGTCATAGATAAAAAAAAAAAATCTGTCAGATTAATCTTGACAAGCGTAAGCTAATTTGAACATCATAATTATCAAAAGCGAAAAAAAATAAATAAGGGGGACAAGCCGCATTATTTAGTACCATACAGAGGACCCCACGAAAAGTTCTAAGAAAAAAAAGCCAAGTTGCAACATAATTCTTATTTGGGATTCTATAAATTAAGAAGCTGTGCAGCCTATTTGAAAAGGAAACACTCTCTTCTATTATACAGCAAATTAAAGACAGGAAAAATCATGCCTTGCTTTAATGTTTCAACTAACGTGAATCTTGATGGAGTAGACACTGCTCCTTTCTTCTCTGAAGCCACCAAAGCTGTTGCTTCTATCATCGGTAAACCCGAGAACGTACGTATTCTCTATCTTCCTCTGTACGAGCAAGTTAGGATCGACTATATAAATTTTTTCTCAATATTTTCTTATACATATATATGATTATTTCTTCCTATTTTGTCTCGCTATTTTTTTTTTCTCAGCACGAGTTTTTCATTCTACTTTCTACTTTCTTAAAGAGGAGTATAAGATTCGTGTAAAAGGTGAGGTTTGTAAATAGCTCCTGTTTTAACAACTCTTATATACTCTCCGTTTCATTTTATGTTGGCTGTGTTTGCTTCAGGCCGGACTTTACGAAGAAAAAATAGTAGACACATATACTTGCGGAGTCAGAAATTTTAGTAAGGAGTGTCAAAATATTTTTAATTTTTCAGAAAAGGGTATCCCGGGGGCTCCGCGGCCATTGGATACATATCAGAATTACTTTTAAATGACATATTTTTGATTATATTCTCAGGCGATTGATACTGATAGGAGATGTCTATTTTACCATTTTAAAGTTGTAATTATTAGAAAACTAGCAGGGCCCCTTATTGTTTGTCTGTCGTCGATTGATTTGTGTATTATCAAGTTGTGGAGATGATTGAAGTGCGTTGTTTAAAATGGTTCACACTTTTCTTATCCAAAACAAATGTCCAAAGTTGATGAAACCTCATTTTCAAAGATGCTATTTAAATATTATCCAATATTTATTTTAATTTAAAATTTTGAACTAAAAATCTTAATTTCAAGATAATTTAGGACGTTTTTATCCTGAAATTTTAAATTGAAAAACAAAAATTCAGAACACCTGAACTTTAAAATGGCTGCATGATGTCATTTCTAAAAAAGAGTCATGAGTGCAACTTTTGGACCCAATATATCCTTGACCAAAATGAATGGCCACCGAGGGTTTGAGGTTATTTGAGATCCCTAGCAACTATGAACAAATTGACACACTTTTTTCAGGTTATAAAAACGTGTCCATTGTTATTGGAAAGTGACCACAAATTAAAAAACTCTTTTGAGTTTTGACCATTGTATTATTTTCTCCACTAGTCGTGTCTGGCAATATTTAGTGGAAAAAATATATACTCCATTTGAAGTTACAGTTGAAAAGATTACTAATTGACCATGTTGGATATGACCTTCACTTGAAAATAAGTTTGTGTAAGTTGAAAATCCGTGAGAAGAAACAATTATTGCACTTGAAATATACTACTCAAACTATTAATTCAACTTCAAATTCTATTTTTGAATTAGAAGTTGAAATACTCAACAATATTGTTATCTAAACACTGAATCGCAATTTTTTAACAATATTTTAAAGTATTATGCATGTCCAAACGACGTAATCAGGTGCGTAATAGATACTATGATAAAAACTATATGCATGCAAGTAAATGCCTTTGTCAGCATAAATCAAATAAGAAATTAATAGATAAAATTAATATTAAAATACCAGAATTAAAAAATGAGAATTTGATAAAAGCTAAACTCTCTGGAAGAATATGTAACGTAATTCAGTGACTTCAGGTAACCTTGTCGTGTCAAAAGGCTAATGCACGTCAAAAAAAAAAAAAAA